GCCAATAAAATGCTATTTTAAAAATTTGATTATGAAAACTGTTAACAAATATATCCTCTTGTTTTAATTTTTTGCAGCTAGAAAGGATACTCAAGATGAACAGGAAAAAAAACAAAAAGAAGAACTAAAACCAGCTGAAAAGCTAGATACTGATGAAAGCAGCAAAGGCAATAAAGCTAATGAAAACAGCAAAGCCGACAAGACTGAGTAAATTTAATTTTTTTCTAAAAACTTTACTTTTCCAAGAAAATTACAAAAAGACCAGCATCTGCAAATCCACCGTATAATAATCTCATGCCTTATGAGGTCAGGAACTATTTAAAAGCATTTAATTGTTAAAGGACGCGTGTGCCAGCTCATAGGCCCAATCATGTTTGAACTGAGAATTAAGATAGTCCATGTCCTTAATTCCTCTCGTTCCCTTGGTGACACACACTTCCAATGGTTAAGAACCAAAACACCCTCATTGCTTTTTACCGCTGTGGGTTTAAAGGAGCATCAGGTTTTTTCTCCTATCAAGCTGTAACATTTTATCTTATGGGGTTGCAGTTTCTATCCTTGACACTTGTTAAATCAAGCTGATTGAATTTGAATGTGTTATCTATTATGGTCAGGAACCCTCTATTTGATCCTTCAATTGACCAAAAATCACTTTTCTTGTTGCAGTCATGTTAGCCAGAAAGGTGATCTAAATTGAGGCCCTGATTGATGATCTTCTCTTTGGGTGTTTTCACAAATATTACTCAATGCTTAATTCTCAATTCAAATTTTTATCCAGAATAGCATTCAAATGTTATCTAAACCAGAACTCTACTGTTCTGGCTTTCTTAGTTGCATGTTAAAATGTCAATTTATTGTGCAGTACCAAACCCTTATGGGAATCATTCCAGTTCAACTCACGTTAAAAAAAACTCAGGAGAACTTATCTCAGTCCAGCAATTTCATAAATAGCACCAAGACAGCTTTGAAAACGCTCCAATGCCAGAAGGATTTAAAGGTTATTCTGTTAACATAGTAGCTATCACCAGAGCTTGACTCTATACTGTTCCTTTCAGTTTACATCTTCATTCAATATTGTCCTCTTAAAACTGGAGCAAAGTCAGATGTATATTTGTGGAAGGTCGACCTTCAGTCTCTTTTTGGTGTAAGGTTCTTACAATATCTACTTCGGAATTTCTAACTTCCTTCATTCAGTGAGATTGCTGATCTCCTACTGTGGCTCTCTAGAGACAGTCTTGTAAAAGAGCAAATACTTCAGCACTATACAAATACAGTACATCTCTCACAATGGGGTCCTGGTCCATGACATGGTTTCCTAAGTGCTGTGTTTCATAGATCTGGAAAAAGGGATAAACAGTGATGACATGGCAAAATTTGCAGATGATACCAAACAACTCAAGATAGTAAAGTCCAAAGCTGACTGAAAAGCTACAAAAGGGTCTCACAAAACTGTGTGACTGGACAACAAAATGGCAGACACAAATCAGTATTAACAAATGCAGAATAATGCACATAGGAAAACATCATCCCAGCTATACATATAAAATGATTGGGGTTTAATTAGCTGTTACCACTCAAGAAAGAGATCTCGGAGTCATTGTGGATAGTTCTGTGAAAAAATCCACTTAGCATGCAGAAAAAAACAAACAATGTTAGAAATCATTAAGAAAGGGATAGATAACACAGAAAATATCATATCACCTCTATATTAATCCCCATCTCCAAAAAGATGTATTGAAATTAGTAAAGGTTCCAGAAAGGACAAGAAAAATTATTAATGATATGGAATAGCTTCTGTACGAAGAAAGATTAGTAAAACTGGGACTTTTCAGTATGGAAAAGAGACAGGTAAGAGGGGATTTGATAGAGATCTACAAAATCATGATGAGTGTTGAGAAAGTAAATAAGGAAGTGTTATAACACAAGAACTGGGGGGTCATCAAATGAAATTAATAGCTAGCAGGTTTAAAACAAACAAAAGAAAGTATATCTTCACATAACACATAGCCAACCCATGGAAAAGTCTGTTACAGTCTTCAAAAAAGAACTAAATAAATAGAGGATAGGTTCAACAATGACTATTAGCCAGGCTGGGTAGGGATGGTGCTCCTAGCCTCTATTTGCTAGAAGCTGGGAATGAGAGGCACTGGGTGGATCACTTGATGATTACCTGTACTTTTCATTCCCTATGAAACACCTGGCATTGGCCACGGTCAGAAGCTGGATACTGAATTATATTGGCCTTTGGTCTGACCCAGTATGATCATTCTTATGTTCTTATATTTATTAGCCTGGAGTACACTGTGTGTGTTGCCTCAACTCATCATTTTTTGGTTCACCTTCCTTCTATGCTTCTTTGGACTCTTAGCTAGATCTCAGGGAGGAGAGGAACTGATTGAAATCATGGGTCTCTTATATTGCTGGCTAGAATACTTGTATCTGAGGGTGATATCTGCACGGCCCCTCACAATAACTTTGGTGGTTCCGGGACTTGCAAAAGGTGGGTTTGATCTAGAAGAGTGTGAATTTGCAGAAGCAATACAGATACTAACTAACCTTACCTATATAAATCTACACTTATATACTCAGTATCTCTGTAGCCTACATATTACATTTATTTTGTATCAATTTATAACCATAAACTTTATATTAAAAAATGTCTCAACTCCACAAGCTGTTATATAAAACAAACTATTTGAAAGGCCTTAATTTTATGTAATAAAATGTATAAAAACTTTACAGTTTTACTGCTACACTGAAAATTTTTGTTTGATATCATTTAAGAATATTGACCTGTGAATTTAAAATTGAAGATTTCAGCCTTTATTTTATAAATTACATTTCATTCTTGTACAAAAATATGCATAAATCAGTTTCTTAATGATGTCAGGACATGTGTATTCCAGATCTTGTCTTCCACTAGCAGGTATATGTGCTCTCTCTAATTGTATCCCAATAATTAATCAAATTACTCATTTTTGCCCAAACTATAACTATTGTTAGAGAAAGTATGCATGTGAGGGAAATAGGCCTTTGATACCAGCAACAGATATACTGATAATGGACAGTCTCAGCTAAAGTATTTGCCAATTCAGGTTACTCAATCATCTGTCTACTCCAAGACTTAGGTTTACATTGCGGGATTCTGAGATGGGTATCTGTCATAACTTTGCAATTCCTACCATATCATAACTTTAATAACAAGTTAGGAAATATGAAGTTCTTATAGATAC